ACCTGTACAACACTGTCACTGCGAGACTGATACTACCTGTACAACACTGTCACTGCGAGACTGATAATACCTGTACAACCCTGTCACTGCGAGGCTGATACTACCTGTACAACACTGTCACTGCGAGACTGATACTACCTGTACAACACTGTCACTACGAGGCTGACAATACCTGTACAACACTGTCACTGCGAGACTGATACTACCTGTACAACACTGTCACTGCGAGACTGATAATACCTGTACAACACTGTCACTGCGAGGCTGATACTACCTGTACAACACTGTCACTGCGAGGCTGATAATACCTGTACAACACTGTCACTGCAAGGCTGATACTACCTGTACAACACTATCACTGCGAGGCTGATAACACCTGTACAACACTGTCACTGCGAGGCTGACACTACCTGTACAACACTGTCACTGTGAGGCTGATACTACCTGTACAACACTGTCACTGCGAGGATGACACTACCTGTACAACACTGTCACTGTGAGGCTGATACTACCTGTACAACACTGTCACTGCGAGGATGACAATACCTGTACAACACTGTCACTGTGAGGCTGATAACACCTGTACAACACTGTCACTGCGAGGCTGACACTACCTGTACAACACTGTCACTGCGAGACTGATACTACCTGTACAACACTGTCACTGCGAGACTGACAATACCTGTACAACACTGTCACTGCGAGGCTGCTACTACCTGTACAACACTGTCACTGCGAGGATGACAATACCTGTACAACACTGTCACTGCGAGGCTGATACTACCTGTACAACACTGTCACTGCGAGGCTGATACTACCTGTACAACACTGTCACTGCGAGGCTGATACTACCTGTACAACACTGTCACTGCGAGACTGATAATACCTGTACAACACTGTCACTGCGAGACTGATACTACCTGTACAACACTGTCACTGCGAGGCTGATTATACCTGTACAACACTGTCACTGCGAGGCTGATAATACCTGTACAACACTGTCACTGCGAGGCTGTAATACCTGTACAACACTGTCACTGCGAGGCTGACAATGCCTGTACAACACTGTCACTGCGAGGATGACAATACCTGTACAACACTGTCGTGACAATACATGCACGACACTTTCACAAAAGCATCACTGCCACTACAGGACTGGCAATGTCTATACAATAGTACGAGGTATACATCACTATCACTACAAGAGACCCGTGAAAATCCGGGGTAGGTTAGGTCTTCAGCAATCCATGTTTGCCATGCGACTGTGCTTGTCATAAGCGATCGGGTGGTCAGGCTAGCTGACTTGGTTTATGCTTGTCATCGTATCCCAATTGCGTGGATCGATACTGACCATGTCAATCACTGGATTGTCACGTCCAGACACGATTATTTACAGACCGACGTCATATTGCTGCAATATTGCTGAGTACGGCGTTAAACACCAAACAAACAAACACTGCCGCCACAAGACTCACAACACACGGCTGCACACACGCACACACTAATATCAAGCTGATCTAGTTGCCATCACCTTCAGGGCAGCCAGGTCCGTCATCACCTCCACACATCACGGGGCAGATTCCGGAATATGGCGAGCGGATCGGGAATGGACACCCTGCGGAACAGCGAGTGAGATCCAGAAGATATGGACAGCAGTTAGACGAATTTTGATTTATTATCTAAATAGGACAAGATAAGCTAGCTGATACAATTTTCAAATGAAGAATATTGTAAGAATGTCCCGCCCCCTACAATGTTGCTAATGTACTGTTATTGCAACAGGAAGCATCATCCCACCCTACCACAATTACTGTAGTCGAACTGACAAGACGAACTGACTAGACGAACTGACTAGATGACTTGCATTAAAAAAGGTACCTTATTATTACAAGTCAATACTTAGGATTTTGCATTTGCCGAATTGATGTTGCACTTAGTCAGAAATATTGACACTTATATATATAGATGGTGTTAATAGCCACAGTGGGCGAGTAGGGCGGTCGGGTAGCCTAGTGGTTTAAGCGTTAGCTCGTCACGCCGAAGACCCGGGTTCGATTCCCGACATGGGCACAATGTGTGAAGCCCATTTCTGGTGTCCCCCGCCGTGATATTGCTGGAATATTGCAAAAAAGCGGCGTAAAACCATACTCACTAACTCACAGTTGGCGATGTTTCAGCCGATCGTTTCTGCCACATGCAATTAATTAAAAAAATCTACAATTCATTTTCCGAGCTTACTCAGCACAATTGTACCAATGAAAAACAATATGCTGGAAGTAACACACTGTTAGATAGCGGGAGGTGGTCAACACTTTCTACGGTCTGCTCGTTGAGGCGAAGGACCGGGTTCGACTCCATATCTTGGTACAGTGGGTGGAGCACTCATTGTTTGTGCCCCTCACCGTGACGTGGCGGGGAGAGTGCTTAAAGGAGTTAAAAACCCAGCACAGGTTACACATTTTTTCACTGATTTTTAGATAGTTATATTAAACTTTAAAAAGGCATACTTACCACCCGGTGTCCCTAGAGGAAAATTTACGTTCACTGAAATTAATATCTGTTGTTAGGATAGTAGTAACGAAATCATTAAAGTCAAAATCCAGTTAAACACCAGTACACTCAAAATCTACATTGAGGGTTGGTTTTCTAAATATACCCACTGTATTTGATAGGCATTTCAAAATATAACGCATACGGATGAAACAGTTTATGCAATTTATGGGTGACCATTTCTATATTTAAATGCAGTAGCGACGTTTCGATGTAGACACTAATACTGTTCTACTGGATCTACAGCGAAATGTCACTATTGCAATAAAATAAAGAAGTTGTTATCCATAAATTGTGTCAGCCGCGAAACACTGTAAGAAATTAATAAAGGACCATGATGGTACTCTCCTCTGTGTGTGTACATCCTACCCACAGAACATAATGGCCGTTAGGGTAGCCTTGTGGTTAAAGCGGGTTTGATTCCCGACCTGGGCACACTGTGTGAAGCCATGTCTGGTGTCCCCCGCCCTGATATTGCTGAATATTTCTAAAATCGGCGTACACCTATACTCACTCTCTCACTCACTCACTCACTCACTCACTCACTCACTCACTCACTCAACCACTCACTCACCCACTCAACCACTCACTCAACCACTCACTCACTCACTCACTCAACCACTCACCCACCCACCTACTCACCCACTCACTCACTCAACCACTCAACCACTTAACCACTCACCCACTCAACCACCCACTCACTCACTCAACCACTCACCCACCCACCCACTCACTCCCTAAACTCACCTATCCCCTCCACCCACCCACTCACTCTCTCACTCGAAATGAATCACGTTACCAGCCAGAGCTGCAGCAAGAAACACAGCACAGACCAACAGAACCTTCATGGTTTTCATTAGCACTGACCAGATACCAAACCTAACAGGGAGAATACTTAAAATGACAGATGTTAGTGCGATTAGACATGTCTGATGTCTTTGATCCACGAAACTAGATAACGGTAGAAACTAGAAACACGGACCTATTAACCTATTTCATAGCTAAAATACATACAACGGTTCAAATGTATTTGTTATTTACCACCGCGCTCAGCAATATTCCCACTATATGAGGGCGGCTTCAAAGTATCTAGTGATTTAAATTCAGAGACAAGATCCACGCTTTCGGAGTACGATGACACGCAATGAACCAAGTCACCGAGCCTGGCAACACGATTCGTGCAGTCGTCCCATACGACGACCAATCCCCATGGGTAACGGAATAAAGAATTAACAAAACGCGCTAGTTTGGTATTGGATAATGAAAGTAGTGCAAACGATTTGTCTCTTAAGCGTGTTATTAACGTAAATAGTTATTGACACATGCATCTTAGACACATACTTGTGACGTGACATAAACTGCAGGGCAAAAGAAATTACACTTCCAAGTTGGAGTTCTGAAAATAGTCTCTGAAACACTGCAAACCTAATGTCAAAAACACAACTATGATTCCCATAACAAATACATGTACATCCCGATCCTAAAACCATGTCTTGTTTGTTCATTCTTAGCCGCCATCAAACTTACGTACATTTTATACTTTCCCCGGCAGTTTAGCCTAGGAATAAAGTGAGTGAGTGAGAGAGATTCCTGATCCCAACTCATACGATTTAACAAGATGATTTAACGCAGCTGTGAGTGGTTGAGTGGTTGAGTGGTTGAGTGAGTGAGAGAGTGAGTGAGCCGCTTTTAGCAGTATCATGGTGGGGGACACCGGAAAATTGGCACATTGTACCCGCGTGGGGAATCGAACCCGGGTCTTCGGCGTGACGAGCCAAAGCCTGGACCACTAGGCTACCCCACCGCCCCTAACACGGCTTTGAACAATCTAACAATTAAGGATCTTTTAAATAATTACTTTTGTAGCGCAGGTTTTCGTGATGATGCATAACAGTACAATCATATTCACACTACTGGTAATCGTGTAAATTTTTGGGTAAAATTATTATCCCCAAAACTGTCGTATGCAGCACATATGTAACGTGCGAGTTACAATCGAAATATAAGGTTCGTCTTGAAGTAAAAGCTCAAACCGCATCTTCTTTCTTTTGTTCTTTAATGACGTCACCAGTGAAGATCAGGGTTAGAATTGATCTCCAGCAACCCATGCTTCTCGTAAGAGGCGACTTAAAGTCTCGCTGACTTTGTTAATGCAAGTCATCGAACCCTAAATGTGTCATTCTGAAGCTATTGATGTCATCACTGGATTGTCTTTCCCAGATTCAGTTATTTACAGACCGCCGTCATAGAGCTGGAATACTGAGTATTACTGGGATACCAGACAACAAACAAAGTTATCAGCTATATTTCTCGACGTCGCCATGCCAGTTTCCGGTTCAGTCTCACAACTAAATTGTTTGACATTTCGTGAAATATATCTGTAGATGTCACACGTGCTTCGTTTAATCTAATCCCAGTGTTTATCATTGTGTAGCAGCTGTCCAGCTGACGCGGAGGTTGACTGATAATGTGTTCTAGGTGTACGCCTCCAGTGAACCTATCCCAGTCGCTGATACCACCATGAAGGTCCTGATTCTCTGTGCTGCTCTCTGTACTGTGGCTTTGTCAGGTAATGCATGGCTTTGTCCTCCATGTATTTATAATATTACCTTTACCCCTACTGCAGAGCTACATAATGATATTCTATCAGAAGCCACAAATGTCTTCACATCAGGCATTTTGTTGTTAAGCTTTAATAAGTTAATGATCTGTGTTTAAAGCCAGGCGGCAGCCTGGTAGCCTCGTAGTTAAAGCATACTCCAGTTACGCCAAAGACTCGGGTTCGATTCCATATATGGCTACAATGTGTGAAGCCCATTCCTGCGTGCCCCACCGTGATAGGGCTGGAATATCGTTATCAGCGGCGTAAAACCATACTCACTCACTCCCAGGCGGCAAACTCCTTGTTCGTCAAATACTATTTGCATCAAAATAATGTCCCTATTGACTTTTTTTTTAAATCTCAAATATAAAATAAAATGCTATTCAGAATGTTATATCAACACAGGCACATTTAGGAAAGAAACAAAACTCGTTCGAATGCATTAATCGTTGACTAGTTGCACTATTCCACTCATAGCTTCTGTTGGAACTCTGTTGAAACAGCGTGGTAGACTGTTCAAATCATTGGTGTCTCTTTCATTATCACGACAAATATTTGTACATATTTTATGAAGTTAGTTGCTGAAGAAAAAACCTGAACAACTAACAGTAAGATGGGAATTGTAAAACACATGTGCCAAAAATGAATTGTCACAGAAAACTGTAGACAAAATTAGATATAAATTAGCTACATATGCAATTCAGCAATGTCCCCAAACTTTCAACAGAACAATTACAAATAGACCACGGCGGCAAGGCCATTTTCGGTGACTTAACAAACATATGAGTCAATACCCTGTGAGGCTCACTGTGTGAGAGCATGTTGTTTAACGCCGTATCATCGTTCTCACAGGGGCGGTCGGGTAGCCTAGTGGTTAAAGCGTTAGCTCGTCACGCCGAAGACCCGGGTTCGATTCCCGACATGGGTACAATGTGTGAAGCCCATTTCTGGTGTCCCCTGCCATGACGTTGCTGGAATATGGCTAAAGCGGCGTAAAATCATACTCACTCTCTCACTTTCTCACAGATTGTCCAATGCGAGCCTGTGGCGATCTTACATTGACCACAGGGTAATGGTTACAATCAGATAAACTGCCAGGCAAAAGAAGGTACATGGAACCTGGATTTCACCACAAATGTGCAAACATTATCAAAACTGTGACAGGCTGAAAACAGGAACCGACACACTGCAAACATAAGGTCCTGAACACAGTTCTGATACCCGTATCTCCATGGAATAACCATTCCTTGTTTGGTTCATGCTTAACCTCCATCAAACACGGGTGTGTGGTGATCAATCAAGGGTACACACTGCCAGATAACGCCTACGCATTGAAGGACCCAAGAAATAATTTCAGTCGGCCGTATCATGCAATGCATGAAGCTGTGTTCTGATTCATTGTCCTCTGGTGTCTTATACGTACATGATAGCTTGATTCTGACGGAATGTAGGGTTGGTATTTTTAAGATCGTTGACTAAAATGCCTCGAAGCGGCTCCTAACTATAACCTGCCGGGCAAAGGAAAGTTTACACTCATGTTTGATGGTGGCTAAAAATGAAACAAACAAGACATGGTTATTTGATATTGGATACGAGTATCATAGTTGTGAGTATGGCATTAAACAAAGTCTATATTCCCAAGCTTAACTGCCGGGGAAATTAAAGCATGTACGTAAGTTTGATGGTGGCTAAAAATGAAACAAACAAGACATGGTTACTCGATATAGGATACGAGTATCATAGTTGTGAGTATGGCATTAAACATCAAACATACAAATACTACCACCTTTTGCATTCCAATCTGTACACACTATCTTATCAATGATTGTATATATAAGTGATATGGAGCGTCTCTAACAGTGCCTAGGTATTGATTTTCCATCTGCCAAATTGCGACCACAGTAGAAACTTTCTTATCTCTGATTGCAACTATACTTTAGTATTACTGAGCTTCTCTGACAGTGCGTGGGCATTTGATGAATGTGGCATGGATCTGAGTTGAAACCTGTCAATGAAAAGGGCTGGGATCTTAGCGGCAACCTGTCAGTGAAAAGGGCCGGGATCTTAGCGGCAACCTGTCAATGAATAGCACCAGATCTAAGTGGCAACCTTTCAATGGATATGACCACGGCCAGGATCTAAGCGGTAACCTGTCAATGAAAAGGGCCAGAATCTGAGCGGCAACAAGTCAATGAATAGCACTAGGATCTAAGTGGCAACCTGTCAATGAATAGCACCACGGCCAGGATCTAAGCGGTAACCTGTCAATGAAAAGGGCCAGAATCTAAGCGGCAACCTGTCAATGAATAGCACCAGGATCTAAGTGGCAACCTGTCAATGAATATGACCACGGCCAGGATCTAAGCGGCAACCTGTCAATGAATAGGACCAGGATCTAAACGGCAACCTGTCGGCAGAGACGTTAACGCTTCCATCTGACATAAACCATGCAAACATCTAGGGTTCTGAATTCCAAGATGTAATTATATTTTTTATATAGATCTGTCCATTCGGTTTTTTTCAGCCCTGATTCCAAGTCATTCGAGTGGTCAGTATAGATTAAATATTTATATAAAGCAACAAACACATGTATTTACAAGCATCGTAAGTGGAAAATATTGTATGAGGCGTTCATCAGTGTGGAGCAAAGAACAGCAATGTAGCCATGAACGGCAGTGCCCATGTTGTGGTCAACATTACCGCCTTGTGCTTGGTGTATGTGGCGACTAACGGGATCGGGTGGACAGGCTCGCTGACTTGGTTGATGCATGACATAGCACCCCAAATGCGTGGATCGATGCTCATGATATCAGTCACTGGGATGTCTGGTTAAGGCTCGATTATTTACAGACGTCGTCATATAGCTGGAATATTGCTGAGTGTGGCGTAAAACAGCAAACAAAACAGACCAATCATTGGCTGGTCCAAGGAAGAATATAGCGAAATCCCATTTATAAAGGACTAAAAATGAAATTTATGTACAATTAATGTGAAGACCTAACCTTTTCAAAGGCATAAGGTTCACAATGTGAACCATTGAATTATTCATGATAACATCTGATATAATGTATAAGTTCTTTATGTTGTCATGTGAATTTTGTGAGATATGTCGAAGGCATGTGTTTAGTGTGATCTGTATGCTGATCCAGCATATATGCACTGCACGAAACGCTGTATTTATCCCACAGAATGTCCACCCATCAAACCTGGCAGCGTCGGGATCTGCGCTTTCATGTGTGGAGCTTCGGGCGGCTGTACAGATGGTAGGTTGGCAGAGTGAGTGAGTGAGTGAGTGAGTGAGTGAGTGAGTGAGTGAGTGGGTGGGTGGGTGGGTGGGTGGGTGGGTGAGTGAGTGAGTGAGTGAGTGAGTGAGTGAGTGAGTGAGTGAGTGAGTGAGTGAGTGAGTTTGGTTAGATTTAGATTTGGTGAACATGCAGTTCAGTTCAGTATTAGCAGATCGGTCCTCCTATCAGCGTGTGATCCCACCCCACACCGTTACACTACCACCCCATAACGATCATGGTCCAAGGTCCTAGGTCGTACATACTGGTCGCCAACAAAGTGTCCTGTAATCTGTGAATCGCAGGCTGACAGACGCCAATGTCTCACACCCAGAGCGGTGTTGCTATTTCCCCATTATTCTTTGGTGCATGTCGTGAGTTATTAATGTCCCAGCCTTCAAAATACGTCCCTCTTTCACACGGGCTTGAAATAGCCTTTTTTGGCTGTTGGTGAAATTCGTCTTCCCGTCATGGTGCAAAACTCCCTCTTGATTTTGCGTCAAATTTGACTCGGTTCTTGGCATTGACTATAATGAGACGATCATGTTGCGTTGTCGTGAATTTAGGCCTGCCACACCCACATCTGTTTTCAACACCCCCGGTTCCACAGGGGAGAAATTACTCTTTTGGACTTATGACACGCATACTGGCAACTTGTGCTGTAAACGTCCGCCTTCCTATTTCCCGAATAATTTGCAATGCATACGGGCAACTTGTGCTGTAGACGTCCGTCACCCTATTTCCCCATTTATTTACCATGTATACGGGCAACTTGTGCTGTAGACGTCTGTCCCCATATTTCCCAGATAGTTTGCCATGCATACGGGCAACGTATGCTGTAGACGTCAGTCCCCCTATTTCCCCAATAATTTGCCATGGTGACTTTTCATCAAGACACTGTCTTGGTGGCATTTTCACACGTTTCTTAACATCGTGTGCAGTGAGGTCCCTGACATGCGCATAAACGTTCTCGGATGTTATGACGTCGTATCTATTTTCTTCACCAAAGAAGCAAAGTGACGTCATGTTGTAATGTGCTTATAAGGGAAGGTTATCTAAGAACTGACTTCACATTGTGTTAGTTCATTGGGTAGGAACCTTAGAGTAGGCTATAGAGTGAGGGCGAAACTGTATGAAAGTCGGAGCTTGCGACGTCAAAATGGCCTACACGATAAACGTGACGGGAGAGATTTCCGAAGTTGTTAATGAATCTGTGGCGGTTACATGTGTTGTTCATCATTGGTCAATTGGCCGATCATTGAAAGGTGATTTTAAAGATGTGTCAACTAGATAACAACTTAAAGGTAAATTCATAGATTGCTGTAGACTGTCACTGTCAATCAAGACACAGATCGATACTACGACAGTTTGGATGTGCATTTCTTCGTTTTGTTCGCTAGGATGAGTCATTGCGAGAATATTCATAAACGATCATGCAGTCAAATTCTCTGACGTTTCTCAATGTATGCTAATACGCTGAGTTCAAGATTAAAGGATCTATACGATCAGAAACAACGCTTTGGTGTGTCTTCGTGCAAGTGATATCCCAGGGTTTCCCCAGGAATGTGGAAGTAGTCCGTCAGTGTTGAAGTCATTTCAAGAATACAGTCTCGAGAAGAACGCATGAACGTCCAATTGTGTCGTTCATATATGTCATGTGACCGACCTCTCGTACAATGGAAATGACGTATATCGTGTAAACCTCAAATTTAAAAAAAAAATCACACGATCATTCCACCCTTATTGAAAACATATGCAAATTATGACATTCTTTTGTAAACTCAGTACTACAGAGAGCCTTGTGTAAGCATCACTGTTTATAGAAGACCGTTTGTGCACTAGTGTAAATACCTTTTCAAGCGCACCAGTGTATCTAATCTTGCCACCATCCAGACAACATTATCGGGGAGCTTATTGGGTTATTAAGATTTTTTTACACGCCTATTTGAGTGGTACTGATTTTATTTGTGTAAGAATTCATGTATATCCCAAGCTCTCGCTCGGTAAATACATGCATTATGACATTCGTTTCTCCAAATCAGTATGACATGCGTGCTCATATACTATTCTCCATATCGTTTCTTATAGATCCAGTGGCAAAGCAAGGACATGTATATGATTTCCCTTTCAGATGAGATTTGTTGCCCAACAGCGTGTGGAGGATCCTCGTGTACGAAGAAACACCAGACACGTGGGTATCCTTCACAGTTTACATACAACAACTATGTGTGTGTGTGCTTGTGTGTGTGTGTGTGTGTGTTGGTTATTTAACGCAGCACTCCGTGATATGACAGCGCTAAGGCAGTGGTCTGGACCAGACAATCCAGTGATTGATAGTATACTCAACGATCAACGTCATTGGGGCTCGAAACACTTAATCATCGAGTCTGATCTAGGTCGCTGGGACCAGCCTGAATCCCAACAGGGGAAAAGGTTAATACCTGTTGCTCAATATTTTTACTAAATTTAAGTAATAACTAGAATCTGACAGCTGAGTGTTACAAGATCATCAACGTGGTGAAACTATTCATTTTCCGCATGTAGGAGCATGTGCAATGTCCGTGTTACAGGTGCCCTTTGTCCACCCGGGGTCACGATTGTCAACTGTTTCGTTGACCCATGCATGTTCGCCAAATGTCCATCGCATCCTTCAGCAACCTGCAGGTAAGACCGCAGTGTGTTGTTACCTGTACACCTGGAGACGTTGAGCGAGTGGGTGTAAGACCGCAGTGTGTTACCTGTACATGTCGATACGTTGGGGTGTCGTGCTGCTGGTTCTGGCAAATCTAGAAAAGTATACGTTTCGTGCTCGCTTAAGGGACGCAACTCGTGTCTGTCTGTCTCTGTCTCCCTATGCCTCTCTGTCTCTGTCTCTGTCTCTCTATGTCTGTCTCTGTCTCTGTCTCTGTCTCTGTCTGTCTCTCTCTCTCTTACACACACACACACACACACACACACACACACACACACACACACACACACACACACACACACACACACACACACACACACACAAACACACACACACACACACCTCATGCGTCCACACTCATTGCCTTCTTTAATTTAATTAAACATTTTGCATGTTACTGAAAGGTTTGATGATGGCGCCAAGTATTAGGACACCATTACCATGCCGGAATGTCTAAGGCGCGACATGGTGGTGTAGTGTTCCACGTTGAAGTACATGGACTGCTACACACTCCAGTCTTGATCTAACTGTTGTTGTAGTGCGATGTATAAAACATATATATTGTCGGGCTCGATGCCCCACATGGGTAAACTATGTGAAGCCAATATCTGCTGTCCCCCAAGGTAATATTGCTAAAAGAGGCGGGAAGCCATTCTCACTCACAGTGTAATTTTCATGAACGTCAAGAGCACAATATTTTTTTAAATCAGCTGACATACAAAGTTGGTGTTGAATGACATCATTCTTGCTTGCCTCATTCCCCTTGGTAACTGCATTTGTCTAACCAATGAATTATTGACAGCAATATCACATATTCATCTTCAACAAGTTGCCCTTTATACGCCGACGTGAATATCGCTGGAATGTTGCTAACCGCGGCGTAAAACCATATTCACTCTCGGTTATACAGACAATGGGATTGTATTTGCTTTTTAAATCTTGTCCTATATTTTCAGATCAAACTACTGCGGTGGTTGCAATGCCGAATTCTACTTGGACGGTAAACAGATTACCGGATGCGGAAATTCAGCCTAAATTGTATTTAAAAGAAATACACCTATGAGAAAATGAAAATGAAAATGGTTTCTCATGACACTCTTTCTCTTACCTACCTTATATTGACCGCCTCAGTGGTGTAGTGGTAAAGCGTCTCCCCTGGAAGCAGAAGGTCGGTGGTTCGATCCCAGGCCGCGTCATACAGTCATACCTTAAGACGTTAAACACTAGTACTTGTTGTTGTCCTGTCTGGTTCTCGGTATTAATGAGCTAACACAAGGGCAGGTCGGCTCAGAGTCGGTATACTGTGTCTGAGTGGGGAAGTTATATTAAACTGCAGCTTGGTATCTCGGTGGGTTTGCATTATAAAACAGGCAAGCAGCCACACCAAACATCACACGCACGCACGCACACACACACACACACACACACACACACACACACACACACACACACACACACACACACACACACACACACACACACACACACACACACACACACACATGACTAAGGAGACACCACATGTGCTACATTAACGTCAGTGTGGGCAGGGCCGAAGCCCTAGAAATTCTCAGGAGTCAAGCGGCCACCCATCCCGTTACTCTCCGCTACCAGCGTCGCTCAACCTCGCATGATTTGTGACTGATGCGTTGTGCACAGAAGTATATTGAGTTCTTCAAAATGTTCTCGGATCTTATCTACTTTGCTTTATTACCACCATCTTTAAAGTCCACTCTCTGCTACCAGCGTCGCTCAGCCTCGCATGATTTGTGACTGATGCGCTGTGCACAGAAGTATATTAAGTTCTTCATAATGTTCTCGGATCTTATCTACTTTGCTTTATTACCACCGTCTTTAAAGTCCACTCTCTGCTACCAGCGTTGCTCAACCTCGCATGATTTGTGACTGATGCGTTGTGCACAGAAGTATATTGAGTTCTTCAAAATGTTCTCGGATCTTATCTACTTTGCTTTATTACCACTGTCTTTAAAGTCCACTCTCTGCTACCAGCGTTGCTCAACCTCGCATGATTTGTGACTGATGCGCTGTGCACAGAAGTATATTGAGTTCTTCATAATGTTCTCGGATCTTATCTACTTTGCTTTATTACCACCGTCTTTAAAGTCCACTCTCTGCTACCAGCGTCGCTCAACCTCGCATGATTTGTGACTGATGCGCTGTGCACAGAAGTAAATTGAGTTCGTCATAATGTTCTCGGATCTTATCTACTTTGCTTTATTACCACCGTCTTTAAAGTCCACTCTCTGCTACCAGCGTTGCTCAACCTCGCATGATTTTTGACTTATGCGCTGTGCACAGAAGTATATTGAGTTCTTCATAATGTTCTCGGATCTTATCTACTTTGCTTTATTATCATCGTCTTTAGAGTCCACTCTCTGCTACCGGCGTTGCTCAACCTCGCATGATTTGTGACTTATGCGCTGTGCTCAGGAGTATAATGAGTTCTTCATAATGTTCTCGGATCTTATCTACTTTGCCTTATTATCATCGTCTTTAAAGTCCACTCTCTGCTACCAGCGTTGCTCAACCTCGCATGATTTGGGACTTATGTGCTGTACACAGAAGTATATTGAGTTCTTCATAATGTTCTCGGATCTTATCTACTTTGCTTTATTACCACCGTCTTTAAAGTCCACTCTCTGCTACCAGCGTCGCTCAACCTCGCATGATTTGTGACTGATGCGCTGTGCACAGAAGTAAATTGAGTTCTTCATAATGTTCTCGGATCTTATCTACTTTGCTTTATTACCACCGTCTTTAAAGTCCACTCTCTGCTACCAGCGTTGCTCAACCTCGCATGATTTTTGACTTATGCGCTGTACACAGAAGTATATTGAGTTCTTCATAATGTTCTCGGATCTTATCTACTTTGCTTTATTATCATCGTCTTTAAAGTCCACTCTCTGCTACCAGCGTTGCTCAACCTCGCATGATTTGTGACTTATGTGCTGTGCTCAGAAGTATATTAAGATCTTCATAATGTTCTCGGATCTTATCTACTTTGCCTTATTATCATCGTCTTTAAAGTCCACTCTCTGCTACCAGCGTTGCTCAACCTCGCATGATTTGTGACTAATGCGCTGTGCACAGAAGTATATTGAGTTCTTCATAATGTTCTCGGATCTTATCTACTTTGCTTCATTATCATCGTCTTTAAAGTCCACTCTCTGCTACCAGCGTTGCTCAACCTCGCATGATTTGTGACTTATGCGCTGTGCACAGAAGTATATTGAGTTCTTCATAATGTTCTCGGATCTTATCTACTTTGCTTTATTACCACCGTCTTTAAAGTCCACTCTCTGCTACCAGCGTCGCTCAACCTCGCATGATTTGTGACTTATGCGCTGTGCACAGAAGTATATTGAGTTCTTCATAATGTTCTCGGATCTTATCTACTTTGCCTTATTATCATCGTCTTTAGAGTCCACAGAAATGGTTGAAACTTAGTTTGTTGAATGTCTAAGTATGAGTAGCAAGCTGTATGCCTGATGACGTCACTCGCGACCATTTCTGTTATGTGATAATACGGCAGTGAGATCATGAGAATAGACGAAATATTCATCGAAAATATAGTGAGTGAGTTGGGTTTAACGCTGCTTTTAACAGTATTCCAGGTATATCACGTCGTGTCAGCTTAATGTGTGAGGGAAGCCCGAAGTGACGCAGGTCCTAGACGTTTACCCCTTCGGTAGAACATCCTCAGCGCCAATGGCAAGCCCCCTACATCTAAGAAAGAAGACCCAGCTGGAGCCGTATATCACATACAATGTGACTGTGGCGACTCCTATGTAGGAGAAACATCCAGGCCCCTACCCATTAGAATAAAAGAACACAAGACCTCAGTACAAAAAAATGACTCAAAATCAGCCATCTCCGACCACACCCAAACCCACCCCGATCACAACATCCAGTGGAACAACATCAATCCTGGCCAACAACCAATCAGACTACAAAATCAGGAAACTCCTAGAAGCCATCCACATCAAAAGGATCCAGCCAGCAATGAACAGAGACCAAGGCTATTACATCCCGCCTGCTTACCGTCACCTAATTGCTCAATCCCTTTGTCCATCCAATTAATACAGTGGCTTCCATCATCTCCATCAGTTAGCTTGTTTACTCTGCTAGTGTACTCTGTGTTCATCAGTCATCCACTGGCTTCCAATTAGCTTAATCACCTCTCTGTGCCCATCAACTAGTCACTGTAACAACTTAGATGTCAATAAATGTATATGTACCTATGTTGTTTAGCCCTATCCATCACTTGCTTGATAAAGGTGTTAGGATCTACACCGAAACGTCGCACCAATTGTAATAAAGAAGTTGTTCATCCATAGAACTCGTCTTAGTTCAAATATTGTGTTCAATAAAAGAAAACGTTGATTTTTAACACACTTATTTTTGTACTATTAAACAAACTGTGGACTTTGTAGACATTTTCGCTTATTGTAATGAGATCAAGGTAAAAAGTCATATCTTTCTCTGAAATCCACGGGCATAGTTTCTGTCAAACATAAGAACGTAATCAGGGCGGCCAACTTTGACTTGTCGTGTGCCTTAAAGTTAGTTTAAACATGTCAAAAGCGATTGACCCTACAATATAGGGTCATTTACTCCAACGTTCTAACTTTCAATCGTCTTAACAGGACCATATCGTTTGTTATATATCGACTGCCTGTCTCTATGTCTTAAGTCATGCGGTCCAGATTTATTTAATTTATTCATCTATTGTTGCAAACTTGACTGATTTGTTTACACAATAAAAATTCTAATTGATCATGCACTACTGAGGCAGTGAAGCACCTGTATAAGAAATATAAAAGCAGCCATGTTACATGTAGTCCCAAAAGCTGGCAATTATTTCGCCACAAAAAAACTGAAAAAATGCTGATGTGACGTGACATATAAACTTACCCACAGACAATGCATTTTTTCCAGAGAGTGTAGCACAATTCTATCAAAGTTTTATTGACAATTTGAAAAAGTATAATAATATCACAGTGCGAAAATCATTATGTTTTTCTTCAAGTTTTATCAAAATCAAATATATTCTACTACTTTAAGTTTCACATTCCCAAGCCAGTAAAAGCTACATAGTTTACAGGACGCCTATCATAATACGTAACGCTTGGAGATGCAAGCTGTCGAAACCAGTCAAACGAGCTGGCAGATGCTAATCAGCTAGCGCTATTGAAATTCTAGACCCGGCTGACCAGATTCAGACACAGCTGACCAGCCAATAAACAATTAACTAAGCAAGTCAGCACATCAAAACTTTTAAAATTTGACCACCATGTGGGAAACCATTGTTATCAATTCCAAACTGGACAGATGGGTAGTGACATGCTTTCAAACGTGGACTGGAGGTCTCGGGTATAAATGCAGGGGTATCTTGGCATAGGGTCATTCCTGCATTTCGCCTGAGAACCTCTCAGTCTGTTTTTGAAGGCGTGGAGATCCCGGAGTTAATTCCCCGTAACAATTCTAGGCATTAACGGTCCCTAAAGGACGGTTTCAATAATATGAATATTAAAATTCATCATCACTTTTCAAGTTTACAAAAATGTCTCCAGTTGGAAGATGTCACAGATAAACAAGGATTCTAACTGAGTTTGATCGTCACAGGTTTATCTCCAATTTGCCAGCACAATGCAGAGGATTAACAGTTACTGTGAGTGAGCATGGTTTTACGCCGCTTTTAGCAGTTACTGTGTTTATACAATTCCCACAGATATCATGCCAAAAACGCTCACAGTAGTTAGTGAGTAAACTCAATTGAGGATTTTATAAGTATGTATCACAACCTTTGAAAGCTAACATGTGAATAAACTCAGTTCACTGAAACTTAAATAATTAAGGCACTTGCAGTGACCAGTTAACAAGTAATCAGTGAGATATTATATAAATACTGGGAACGCCAAACAACTTCATTGTAAATAGACAAATGCACCTGTGAATGGTCAAGGTTTTAAATACCGAGTGAAACAAAGACGAGGTGCCAGCCTACACTGGAAATGCTGTATGCTGCATGTCCAGCCTCCATCAACACCTCTAGTGATCTATTCGTGATTCCG